TGTCACAGTCTGCGGTGATCTGGGGTTCCAGGAACGTGAAGTCTGTCACTACTTCCATGACTTCCCCTTCTATTTGCCAAGGAGTGATGGGGCCAGATGCCATGGTCTTAGTTTTTTTGATGTTGAGCTTCAAGCCCACTTTTGCGCTCCTCTTTTACCCTGAGCAAGAGGCTCTTAAGGTCCTCTTCACTTTCTGCCATTAGAGTGGTATCGTCTGCTCCTTTGCAGCATCGGACTTTTACTTATCTAGCACAGCATCTCAGCCATTCTCTTAGTGTATGATAGAGCCTACTGAGGTCAGACGTGGGCAAAGGAGAGGGAAAACAACTGTTCACGTGGAACTCCCCATTCTAATAGATTGTTTATTGAAAGTATGTTTATGGAAGCTGCCCTGTAATATCCCAGGGCTTTTCCCAATGCAATTGATGGATGAACGAAAACCAAAATCCAGGTCTGTCTTCTGAGGAGTGTGCTAGCCGCATTTCGATAGAAGAGGAAGGGAGAGTTGAGGCAAACCAATAAGACCCAGTCTGATTTGCTGGTACTATCCTCTCACAGGGCTGTTATTCCCCTCCCAGTTTAGTAATACTAACACAAAGAAAGGCAACTACTATTAATAAGCATTACCCAGAAGGGATCCATCCTCCTCCCCACAGATCATTCTGCACCACCCAGACCAAGGTGTGCTGCAAGAAAAGCAGGTGAGCTGCTTCAAAGTGCCAGCAGTTGGAAACAGCCAAGAGCAGAATGCTTCCTGATCTGGTCAAGGGTGAAATCTTTCCTGATCTGTGAGCAGTCAGAAGCAAAGCTCCAAAAGGAGAAGGCTGTGCTTGACAGCTCTGCAACCAAAGCAGCATTATTAGCCCCAGATGGGGGTGGATGATGAGATAAGATCAGCACCATGCCATTGTGTAGGAAGAGGTAGTGCAAGTGACTGATACTTGTGCTGGCCTTTTGCCTTGTATGACAGCACTGTGGGTAGGGGAAGCATTTGCAAAGCACATGATGCGTAAACTGCATGTCCTAATATGCTGTATGAATTTCAGGATCCTTTTAACCTCTGAAAATAGGTCTATTAGGGTTTAGTTCTTTGTGTTAAATGCAAACTTGGAGAGAACCCAACGTACCTATTGGGTCCACGGCACTTCACTACAGAGATGGAGTGAGGGTAGCTAAGAAGCACTCCTTATGCTGTCAAGTTGAACCTGGCACTGGAAATAGGGCTTGGGGGATCAAACCTGGACTGCTATCAGTCAAGCCGCCTTGTGTTCCAATTCCACAAAAAGAGATTTGCAAAGCTTATCTGCAAGCGGAACCATTGTGGCGGTGGGCAGGAAGAAGGTCCACCAAAGAATTAGTAAAACGTTAAACTTCATCCTACATTCATTTATTTAGAATATTTCTAGGTTGCCTCTTCAGAGTCCTGCTCAAGGGGGATTACAATTAAAA